TTAGATAGTAAACAAAATACTTAAGAAGCAGGTAGGTATTTGTTCCTTTCATTAAGACTTGGGTAATTACTAAAATTTTCAATATGGTAACAGCTTTAAGAAAAATATGTAAAACATAATAAAATTGTAAGGAAATCAATAGGGGGAAAAAAGCACATTGTATTCTTCAAATATGTCAACTCTGCAAAGGCAAAAAACGGCTACGGAAACTTTCCAGAGTAAAGACAACTAAAGAGACATGACAACTAAACACAATTATATAATCCCATACTGATCCTGTAGTGGGGGGGTGGGGGGGGGACACTGCCATAAAGAACATTATTGGGTCAACTGACAAAACCAGAACATGGTAGATTACAGAATTTTATCAATGTTAAACTTACTGATATTGATAACTGTACCGTAACTACAAAATAAAATATCCTATTCCTAGGAAATAAATGATGGTAAAAGAGTGCAATATAGGCAACTTACTCTCAAATAGTTCAGGGAATGGGATAAATAGCTGTGAGTGTGGGTGTAAAAGGATAGAGGGAAGAAGAAAAAGGGGAGAGAGAGGGAATTTCAGTCAGCCAGGGCTTTAATTCATTCAAAAAGTTAATGACCCAAGTTTTAAGTCCAACCCTGGACTAACTTCTTAAGTGATATACTCAGTGAAAAAAAGGACTGGACTGTAAGCAAGTATGGCAAGAGGCAGAAAACCTGCAATATCAGCCCTAAGCAAATATTTGGATTTAGTCCTTCGTTTTCATCATCATGTTCACTCCCTAACTGTTTGTTAGCCCATTATGCAATCCATTATAATCTGATCTTTGGAGAAATTTCCACTGACCTGAAGACACCCACCCTGCTAGGAGGGGTGCCATTGAATGACTTCATGCAAAATTGGTTAACTCCCATAAGCAAAATTTTAACACTTATGTAGCATAGTTTTTAAAGAACTCAGACCCTAGATTCAGTTTTAATTCTGGTCCTCCTGCTTGCTAAAACTGTGAACCCCAAGAAAGTTAGCTCAAGCCTCAGTTTGGTCATGTGGAAAATGGGAATTAAAACAATACTCACTTAAAAATGTTGAAGTGAAATGTAATTAAATTATCTTTCCTCACATGCCAACAGGTGCTCAAATGTTAGATAGTAAACAAAATACTTAAGAAGCAGGTAGGTATTTGTTCCTTTCATTAAGACTTGGGTAATTACTAAAATTTTCAATATGGTAACAGAAATTAACTTAATACATGTATACACACATGTGCGTGGTATGAGACACGACTGAAAAAGTGAATACTGACTAAATATCTAACATTAAGGAACTATTACTTTAGGTTGTGATAAGCAAATGTTTTTTCTCTAATGTTTTAGAGAAATTTTACAACTATAGATTGATAAATATGACATGAGACTTGCTTAAAAAATCATAGGGTGGACAATAGAGACAAGGTTACTATTAGCTTGCAATTGTTAAAGTTGGGTTATAGGTACATGGTGGTAAATTATTATACTCTCTGCTTTTGTATGTTTAAAATTTTTCCATAATAAAATCTTTTTAAAGAAGTGAAGAAATTCAAAAGTAGGAAACATTCACTCATTAGCAGGGACAAGAAGGAAATGAAAGTTTAATAAAATGAAGCCTGCAGAAATGGGGCAGGAAAAGTATACTTTAAAAAGACTATAACAATAAATATATTCTGGTATTCAAGGGGCTCGAGAGTTGAAAAATAACCCAAAATATATGTACTCCAAGATAACCACTAGAAAATATCAAAATATGTACCTTAAAACTTTCTCCTATACTACCGGAACTTTCTTTTCAAAGCAAAACCTTTTATTCTTGACCCTCACTGATCATTAGTATAGCTATATTTTTTAAAATAAATTTATTTATTTAAATTAGTTTCAAGTATACAGTACATTAGTTAGACCTCTACAATGTTCATAAAACCATCCCCCCAATTGCTCCCTCCTTCCCCTGGCCCTCCATTTAGCCATCATATTAATGCTAACTGCATTCCCTCTTCCATGCTCCCCGTGCCCAACTATCAACTACTAATTTGTACTTCTTTAACCCTTCACCCCATTCTCCCAGCCTCCCAACCTCTCCCCTCTGTCGGTCAAACTGTCCACTACATTTGAGTCTGTTTTTGATTAGTTTGTTCTTTTTGTTCCTTAGATACAGCATACAAGTGAAATTATATAGTATCTATCTTTCTCTGACTTATTTCACTCAGCATAATAACCTCTAGGTTCATCCATGTCATTGCAAATGAGTACAGACAGCTATGTTTTATTTCTACGACTCACCTCTTCCTTTTTATTATTCTCTTATCTTCCATACACCTATTTCCCTTCCATTTTAATTTTCAATCATAAATTTCAGACTACAGTAAATAAAGTTGAAACAATAAAAGAGTAAGTAAAGTTGAATACAAAGAGGAGCTATTGGCTTTAGCCACAAATACAATTACTTTCAGTTTAGAAAATCTCTAAACCACATTTCAACATTCAGTAGCTCCTATTTCCATGCAGAAGAGCCCAAACTATGGTACTGGGTATCCATACTAGAAGCACTGCTTCCTAGTATGTACAGCATTTTATTAAGAATTTCGATAGATTTATGTAAACCTCGACCAGTATACATTTAGTCATAGTAGTAAAAACAGAAATTGGACTCCAAGGGCCTGTGTTCTTATTCAGATTCTTGGCAACTACCAGCTGAGTTCATTCATTCAACATGTGAGCATCTAATACATACCAAGCACTGCGGCAGATACAAAAGTGAACATAACAATCATATAAATAAATGGTTACAATGTTTTGACAAGTGCTATGAGAGACATAAAGTTTATAGATGCGCAAAATATTTTAATGAAAAATTAGATGATCTTTCAGTTCCAAAATTCTATCAATTTAAGCTAAATTCCTTTAACCCTCTTTTTAATTAAAAGGAAGTATCTACAGGTGCAATTTTTTTTTAAATAAAAAGACACTGCCTAAGCACTTAAAAATTTGTAATAAAAGTAACAGCTGACATTTATTAAGCACCTAGTTAAATGCCAAGGGATAGGAGCTTTCCAAACATTCTCACTTAATCCTCTCAACAATCCCAAGCAGGAAGTAGCATCATCACCATTTTACAAGATAAGGAAGCAAAAATTCAGAAAGGCTAAAATAACTTACCCCAAATCTCACACATACAGTAAGAGGAAAACTGAAATTTGAATCCAGATCTTCTGATTCCAAAACCTATTCTTTCCACTAAACTATTTCTCTCATTTTCCTTTGTTAAATGAAAACAAAATTTCCATATTATCACCTTAAGAGCACCCAAGAGAAAAAATTTTACGACAGCCACAAAGTACAAAGTTATCAATGACTGTAAGAAATGTTTTTAAACCAGAGTATCTGTTTATGCACCCTCCATAACGGAAGATTACATACAAGAGATTACAAAACTAAAATATAACCAATATTCAAGTTAACAGATAATGTATGACAATACACTCTGAAAGCTAGCCAATAAAAAATGAGATTTTGTGATTTCTTCCATCTGTTTTTCTTTTACACTTGCTTCAACACAATCAACCAAGGAAGGAATGGTGCAGTATATTTTAGTGTATTAATGTCAGTCCACATAATTATTTAAAACCGCATATTACAGTGTATGGGAATACAAAACAAAGTGTATAAATGCTGTCAAATTTTTAAAATGCAACATAAGCCCACTAAGTCTAGAATACCAAATCATCAACAAAATTTAAAGCTATGTTGAAATAATATAAATTATGTTTATTTTTTTGTATAAATTTCATTAAATTCATTTTTTTTTGGTAAAATTTTTTTTCCAGTTCATCAACTTTAACTGCAAATCTGCACCGGCAAACATCTCTGAAAAATAAACTTAACACTTTACAACAAATGAAGGAAAAAAAGAAGAAATAATTTTGAGAACAATTCCAAAGCTCTTTAGCAAAAGAATTTGAACCAACATAAGTCGTCGGATCCTGACAAATTTTTCTTCAGAAGACCTTCAGATTAAAAGTTTTTCCTCTAAATTTCGCCTAACAGCAAATTCTATTAAGAAAAATTAGCTTGAGAAAGCCTTCATTAACTAGTTCAACTAAAAATTTTGTAGTACTTTACGTCTCCTTCATTCGCATTTACCTCTAACGACAAAAGATCAGTTTCAAACGCCCTTAAGGATTCAAGTATATGGTCTATTTCTCCCCCCTACCTTTAACAGGACCCAAGATAGGAATCAGACAAAAATAAACCAACAACGATCCGTTTTCACGATTATTCTGAAAGATCTGGTAATAAATATCAGAGCCACTTATAAGCCCTCTGTGTCCCGCACTGGGTGAGAATTTCTCTGCTTTCATACCCGCACAAGGCAAGCAAGAAACACAGGCCAGCAAAATCCGCTGATTTGTAACATCCACCCACAACCCGACTCCCCCAGCCCCAAACATGCTCTTCTCTCCACGTTTCTTGCACGACACGTCGCTAGCCAAAGGGCTCTCAGCTCAAGCTCCAACGCCTCTCTTCAAGGCCCGATGGGAATGGTTATTCCCTCCTCGGTGCTCCCTCACCACCGTCTGCTCTGGCTGTCTGGGCTGGCGCGGCCTCGGCAAGCCCTGCGCCGATGGGGAAGGGGCCGCCACGGCCTTGCCAAAGGGCTGTTCTTGATCTCTGGCCCAGTGCATCGGCGTCAGACGGCTCTTCCAGAAGCACAGTCCTAGCACGGGTACCCAACCCGGCCCTCCCGGGCAGTCAGGTGAGCGGACGCGGCAACAGGGCAGCCAAGCTTCTCTTCCCATCCCGGGGGTCCCCCATCCTCCTCCCGCCCCCGCCGTCTGCCCGCCGCCATTTTGTGCGCAGCCGCTGCGACACAGATACAATAAGTCGGCCCGGATCTCAGAGGAAAGGCTCAGGACCCCACGCTATGGGGCTCCTGCCTTCCACCCTCTTACTCCCCACAGGGCAGCAGTCCTACCTATGCCTACCCGACTAACAGGCGAATCCCGTTTGCGCCCCACACGATTTAGCACTCAGCCTCCACTCTCGACGCCGAAGAAGCTACCGCCTCCAAAGAGCTGCACGCATGCGCGCCTGTCGAGCCTTTGCGAGCCCTCCTGTGTTCCCCGCGCCTGCGTACCGCCCGCACCGCGCTCGCGTGGAGGCACGGAGAAGGGGCCAGAGCAGCTTAGTTCCGGAAGGGGGTGCTCTTGCGTCTACTCAGGTATCTACTGCAAAACTCAAGTACCGGTGTGAGAGCCTCTGTCTGTTCTGCGCTAGTGCTATCCTAATCATGCGCTTCTCTAATACGTGTATTGTCTCACCTCTTCTACGAAGTCTTCCCTGGTCATTTTGCATTCAATAATACATTAAAATAGGTAATATTCATCTGGCACTTGATATAATGCTTTGTATGGTTACGAATTTACCTGTCTTTATCCTCTTGCCTTATACATTTTTTTTTTGCATCCCTATAGCAGTCATGCAATGGTATATCACAGCCTCTCGAAATGTCAGGAAATTAGAATTAAATTAAAACTTATTGAGTTAAAAGCTTAACATTCTCAAAATCCTTTAATATGTCATTTCGCAACAAAAATATGTGTGGTAGATATTTTTAACCCTCATTTTGCTGATGAAAAACCTTGGGTTGAGAGAACCTGAGTAACTTCTCAAGATTACTTACTGCATCAACGTGAAAACTCAGTCACTGGGCAAAATCTGGGAAAACTCACAAGTCCTGCCTTATGGATATCAAATGAATCACACCACTTACCCTGAGTCTCCTGCATCACTCTTACCTAGCACTCAAGCAGATGTTTTTCTTTATTCACATTAAAATAAGCACAGAAAAAGCTGAAAGAAAAGCTTTTTCTAAAACATCTTACTGGATTTGCCTTTCAAACTAAAAGTCCTGCCTAAGGCAACAAGCCAAAAACCACAAAGAGAAAGCCAACACGCTCTCCCAAAACTCCAAATAACCAATATTAAAAATGACATGTTTCCCTCCATACATTTCTTTATTTCATTCAAATATACACAAACATGTTATCTGCATGTAATGGGGAAAATTCTTTATCTTTTCCAAAAATTTACGCATTAGCCTACTATATACTTTTCTGATTACTGACGTGTCTCCAAGTAAACCATATATATTCTCTTTTTAATTGAGGCAGAATAGTCATTGTATGGCTCCATCATCAGTTATTCACCCTGTTATAGAACACTGAAGTTGTTTTCAGTCTTTTTGATACTACAAATATTACCGTATACAAACAGCCTTACAAACTGATATTTTTATTTCTAAATACTAGATAGAATCCCAATAGTAAGACTGTGTGACTAAAAGACATATATATGTATTATGTATATGATTTACATATGTGTGTATATATATATAATTTTAGTAGACATTGTTAGAATACTTTCCAAAGAGTTTATTACACTGTACAAATTCCACTCCCGCTAAATACATAGGAGAATGACCATTTATACATAACCTCTTTAGATATTTTATGATATCCGATTTGATTAGAATTTCTCTCCTTCACAATCATTTTTGTAATTTATATTCTCCTAGAAAAGCATTCATGTCATCTAGGTTTTCAAATTAATTTCCCTCAAGTCGAGCAAAGTAACCTCTTAAAATCCTCACATTTCCTTGATTTTGCCCCCTTACAAGGCTTTGTTTATTTCTGTGGCACTTATCACCTTCCATTATACCACAGAATTTATTTTTGATTGTTTCTCATCTGTCTCTCTCCACTAGAACATGAGCTTTATGGTGTCAGGGATATTTATGTTTTCTTCACTGTTTTATTTCTAATACCTTGAATGATACTTAGCACACAGTAGAAACTCAGTATGTATTTAATGAAAGAATGAATGACAATAACGGGTAAAAACGTGCATGTGTGTGTGTGTACATTTAAGAAACTGTTGAGCATTCTTTTAGATCTGGAAATCTGTAAATTGAAAGATGCTCATCAATATCCCTAGCATCATTAAGAAATAAAAATTTTTATCTTAGAGTCTACTATATCCATGCTATTCCAAACTTTTATGTCTTCTGGATTCCTTGGACCACTTACAGAAATTCTCATTCCCATCTAAAAATGTCAATATTCTTGACAGAAAAAAAGCTATCCTAGCCTACATCTTCTTCTTACAATAATTTTATCCCACAGTTCTCCATTCTCTTCTATTACCCACTCCATTTTCTGATTGGCCAGACAACAAGTACGGAGAAGCTCTATCCAGAGCTCAGTTTCTACCTGCTCAGCACAGTTACTACTCAATGCCTGAAAGTATTACAAAAAAGAATAGTCATCACGAACTCGTTCCTGTGATTTATTAACATTAGTGGGGCTTTGTCTCAAGGACATAAAGAATCTCTTCACCATTTCATCTCAAATGCAAACATCCTAATAAATAGGATTTGGGGGCAACTATTGCTCTCCTTCTGTATTTAAAATCCAAATCTAACTATTGGGATAAACACAGGGCCATAATCAAAGTTTGAGAAGCCGTATAGCCATTTCACGTCATGCAAAAGAACATAACTATCAAGAAAACTTAGTTCTTATTGATACTTGAATTTTGCAGCATTTGTGTCAGACTATTAGGTGTGTACCCAGATATAGTATATATAGAAGTTTAGAAACCAAGTCAAGAAAAGCAGTTATTGTCCTGGGTTCTTATCAAAGCTAGTACAATTGTGACCAAATTTGATGAAAAACATTAATCTACACATCCAAGAATTTCCAAGTAATATAAAGAAATCCACACACATACACACACACAAAAAAATCATAGTAAAATGCTGAAAGACAAAGAATTTCGAAAGCAGCAAGACAAAAATGACTCATCACATGGTGATTTCTCATCAGAAACAACTGGAGGCCAGAAATAGTGGAATGACATATTCAAAGTGTTGAGGTGGGGGGGGAACTGTCAACCATGAATCTTATAGCTAGCAAATCTATCTTTCAAAAATGAAAGTGAAATACAGTCATGTGTTGCTTAATGACAGGGATATGTTCTGAGAAATGTGTCGTTAGGTGATTTTGACATTGTGCAGATATTGGAGAGTGCATTTACACAAACCTAGATGGTATAGCCTACTACACACCTAGGCTACAAACCTGTACAGCATGTTACTATACTGAATACTGCAGGCAACCATAACACAGTGGTAAGTATTTATGTATCTAAACATATCTAAACATAGAAAAGGTACAGTAAAAATACTATATAAAAGATAAAGTATGTGTGTTCACATATGTGTATTGGAGAGGCAGGAAGAGGGCTATGGAGAGGAGGTGACTTCTCCTTAACACCCTCACCAACTCCAGGCCCCAGCTACACACAGGGACAGCGAGGGTGGACAACATGCTCAGCCTCCTCATCTATTTAAACCACCCAAAGCTAGCAGTAAATTCAACATTAGTCAGGCTCAGCCTTTTCTTTCAATGTAGCAAGCAAACTTTGTTTATAATCCATTATATTCTTATGGGACCAACATTAGACAGTACATCATTGACCAAAATGTCACTATGTGGCACATGACATTCCAGATAAACAAAACCTGAGAGAATTTGTACAAGAAGACCTATATTTATCCAGAAATGCTAAAGGAAGTCATTGAAGTAGAAAATAAGAGACCCTAAAAACAATTCAAATCCTAATAAAAAAGAAAGACACCAACCAGTAAAAGTAACTATAAAAGACAATATAAATGCATATTTCTTTTCCTTTCTTAACATAAGTGATTTTTAAAAGTACTTATAAAACAACAAGTATGTAATCGTATTTTGATTTTTAACAGAGAGAAGTGTAATCCATTAGACAATCATAGCACAAAGGAATTGAGTGGGAGCAAATCTGTATTGCAGTAAGGTAGTGATACTCGGTGGTAACTTGAAAACACAGGAACAAATGAAGAGAATCAAAATTGGTAAATAAGAAAGTTACAAAAACAAACTCTATAAATATATACCTGCTCATCTTTCTTCTCTCGACTTCTTTAAAAGACATAAAATTATATAAAGTAATATTTATAACAATTTATTTTTGAATTTTTAACACATATTAAGTAATATGTATTAAAAAGTAGCACCAGTCTATGGCCATGCTACCCTGAACGAGCCCAATCCCACTTGATCTTGGAAGCTGAGCAGGGTCGGGTCTGGTTAGTACTTGGATTGGAGACCACCTAGGAAGACCAGGTGCTCTAGGCATAAAAAATAAAAAATAAGAGATTGTAAGCTGACAAGGTCCTTGCAATCTGTGAGGTCAACCAAGGGTTGCCTCGCCTAAAAAAAAAAAAACTAGCACCAAATGGGAAGATGCAATAGAGCTATATGAGAATAATGCCTTTAAATATCACTACAATTAAGTTAGTATAAATCTGAAATGGATTCTGAAAAGTTAAGATATATGTGTAAAACCTAAAGCAATGACTAAAAAATAATTTTTTAAATACCTATATAATAAAAAAGTCATTAAAAGAATGTTATACTACAAAAGATTCATAATGCAAAGAAAGCAATAAAGGAAGAATTGAGGGAAAATGTCAGGAGACAAACATTAAATGAAAAATAAAATGGCAGACATAAATCCAACCATATCAATAATAACACTAAATGTGAAGGGATTAAGGTATCCAATCAAAAGGCAGAAATTGTCGGACTCGATAAAACGTATGTCCAACTACATGTTGTCTACAGGATACACAATTTAGATTCAAAGATACAAATAGGGTGAAAGTAAAAGGGTAGAAAAACATATATTAAGTCAATAACAATAATAAAAATCTGGATGAGACATTTTATTTTGCCCTTTGTTATGAATTTGATGGTGTGAAAGGAGTTAAATTCAACTCTGTAGAGAAGGTCTTTCTTAGGCCTTACATACTTTTTCTTAGGTACTCTGTTGTTTTAAATCATTAAGCAATCATCTGGGCCAGAAAATTCCTCTCACCTTCTCTTCCAACTCTTTCTAAAATACACCTCTACAAACAACAGCCAAGTTCTTCTATACCGCCGACTCATCCAAACACACATCTTGACTCTCTTAACAAGCCTGAAGTAAATAAACCATTCATAAAAAAAAAGCTGAAGTGGCTATACA